CATTAACCTATTTCTGTTCCTGTGTTCTGTGTAATACTTGGGAGCTGAGTACAGCTGAAGGAAGGCTTGGGAGATAGAAATTCAAATGACAGAAGCCCTAACTACTTGGGTCACTTAGTAAAATTTAAACCTGTGACAGTTTCAGTAGTAACGCTGAGCGCTGCATCTGACAGTTTTGGAATACAGCTCGGGTCTTTTTCATTAAATTGTAGGTCTTTATAACATTACTCCGACAAATTTTATCTTTTTTTTCTTTTCCTTTCCCAAGTGTATCACCTGTTTTGAAGAGTCTGCAGACAAATGAATACTGTGTAGGCTGTGTTGCAACTTCAGATTTGCTCACTTGTCTTTTCTGAGAACACATTCCAGGTCCTGTTCCCCTGGAGAGAAGGGAATGGGGAAGGAGGGGAGTCTGCATCCCTGGTTTGGGATGGTTTGGGCCAGGGCCGGGTGTGGGTTCGTTGAAAGCGTCTCCTCACTTGGTCTCCCAAGCTGCCAGCCTATGCCATTCGTTTGGTGTATCCTGTATAGTGGTTACCTACTAAATGGAAATACATAAAGGCTTGAAAGCACTTTTTGGTGATTATCCACTTTCTGTGGCCCACTAGAGGGTGCCCTTGTAAAAGTGTAATTCCAGTAGGTGCTTAAAAAAAAAGGAAATAAGCTGAAATTTTTACACTGGTTCTGAATCCCTGTAGCAACTTGTGGGTTGCTTTGCTTTATAAAAGTGAGGACAAAATTAGACTGAGTTGAATCACTTTTAATAGAACATGAGCTTAAAGAGATTTATTCAAATTTGGCAACACTTATTTACTTCTGACCATCAGGCATTTGCTGGGCTCTGACTCTAGTTTTAAGTCCTCAAGAGTATCATTCTACAGTGTTATACCGTGCATCTCTGGAAAAAATATATTACAGTCTGGGCTTGGGGTTCACCTAAAACTAGAAAATGGTAGAAAGTAAGAAGTGGAGATGAGGGATAAACCTTTAAATCAATGCAGGTGGCCTCTACCCTGACTTTCACAGGAAGCACAGTCTCAGTCTTTGTGGGAAACAAGATCCCATTTGATCCCCATGATAACCTTGTAAAGTTCGATATGACCTCCATTTATAAATGAAAGCCATTCAGAGAATTCAAGTGACTTCATTGGGCTCATTAGCAACTATGAATCAGGAATAGGTTTAAGCTCCAGAGAGGTATCATAAAGCAGCCCTTAAGAGAATGGGTTGGACTGATTGTGAAAGGATAGGGGGTCCAGAAATTTTATTTCCAGCATTGAGACCGATACTTTGGATTTTTACTCATTTTGCTTATTGCCTGTCCTCCCATGTTGGCTCTTGGAGGACAAGGATGAGCCTCCTCCCTTCCTCAATTGTATCCCAGTACCTAGGACAGTGCTTGGCACACAGGGGGGGTGGGGTGGGGGTGTCTCAGTAATGCTTGTGAATGAATTATTAGTTCAAGAAGTGTGGGTTAACAAGAGTTCTGATGTGACTACTCAATGTTAAGCTGAACTAGAGAGTGAAGAATGAAGGTGTGTAAGAAATGATTAAAGCATGAACAGGAATAAAAAGCAAAATCTTCACAGAGAAGAATTAGGATGGTAGTCAGGATAAGGTAATGGGTGAGTAAAGGGAACGAGGGTATTGAGTGATCTACAGGCTAGGACCATGTTTGTCAGAGTATTTTGTGGTAGGGTGAAGCTAGACCAATTAACATCTGCATATAAATTCCAGCTCTAAATTTGGGCACATATTTTATATGCTTCACATTCAGTACCTCCAAGTGACTATTTTTTCCTTGAAGCCAATAGCTATAAAATCAGTACCATTTCCCAATCCAGTAGAAATATTTCTAAAATACACAACCCAATAACTGAACTACAATACCTATAATGCAACTGTAGTGTCCTCCTAATATCAGTAGCAACTTCTAAAAAATCAGTTGTTTAACAGTTTTTTGACACTGAATTGCGCAATGGAACAGTCAAGGGCTTTGGAGCAAGATCAGTCTGGGCTCAGATAGTGACTTTATCACATAGTAGGCAAGTGACCTTGAGTAAGTCATGTCTCAATCGGTTTCCCCATCGGTATATGAGGAATAATACACGCCTTACTGGGTTAGAGTGAGGATTAAATGAGAATACAATTTATGAAAAGCATAACAGAGCATGGTATATAGACTAGGTGTTGTGATGAGTGGATTTCCCTTAGAAATGGGTATATCCAGGTCCGGTAGGTGCACTGCTCTGGGGAGACACCGAGCGTGAAGAACAGTGGACCACTGTACATTTTAGTTGCATAAGACGGGTCATGGCATGTGTGGATTTGGTGTGTCTGGGTCATTGCCTAGCTCTGTAGGCCTGTCAAACTCAACAATCTGGGCATTATCTCGGCTAACATAGAGGTTTTCAAGTGACTACCTGTACACCTATGAAATTAGATTGTTTAATCTCTCTTGTTTTGTTTTTCCAGCTTTATCCAGAGAAAGTTGACATACATCACTGTATGAGTTTAGGTTTAATCTTGAAGGTTCCTTCTTGCCCAAACATCTATGATTGTGCCTGGCTTAGTCTCGGAAAGGTTCTTAACAAATGCTGTTTCTTTTTTGAGTGAGCCTCCTGATACTTCAAGAAACTTAGCAATATGTCGGATGCTTTCCAGTCGTTTATTTTTCGCTAATTGTAGCCTTTGTGTTTCTTGGAGAAAAGGTGGAAATTGTGTGTGTGTGTACGTGGGGGTGAAGGCAGCAAATACCTCGGTTTCCAGGAGCGAACCAGATTTTCTCTCCTAAAGAGGCTCAAGGAAGCAATCCAACTCCGGTTCTAGGAGAATCCAATCCGCAGTTTTCCCCTTGCTGTGGTTCCTCGCCGGTCTTACTACCGGCTCAGGGGAGACATTGGCCAGTCCTACGCGAGGCCGGCTAGAGTCCACCGGCTCGCAGGAGGGCGGGACCGACGCTCAGGGGCCGGGAGCAGAGGGCACGAAGTCTCTGGTGAGCGCCGACGGGCGCGGGCTCCTCCAGACCACAACTCCCGGCACGCCCCGCGGGCTACGCCGAGAGTGACTGGCTGGGAGCCAGAGCCCTACTGTCCATACGGGCCAATGGAGTGCAGGAGAGAGAGCTGACCCGGATTCTCGGAGACCAATGGAAGTACAGGGGAGGCGGGTGCTTCCTTACCACTCACCTTGCGCTGGGAAAAACCACATTTAACAGATCGTGCGGAGCCGGGCTCTTGCGCGCAGGGAGACTAGATTCAAAGAGCGCCTCGGCGGCCCGGAAAGCGGTGCCAGGAGAGTTCGCGTCCCCGCGAGGCGCGCACCGGACGTCACTGGGGGCGGGGCCAGGGGCGGGGCCTGGCCTCGTTGTGGAGAGGCTCGTACTCCATCATGGCGGCCGCGGGGGTCGGTGACCGTCCCTGAGCAGCGCTGGAGTCGGAGCCGGTCCCCGGGTCCTGCGGCTGAGGAGCCCTTCCGTTGTCCACGGCCCCTGCCTTCGGGGGGAGGTCGGGTCCCGCGGCGGAGCTCGGGGGATGTGACTGCCTGACGGCGGCGGCCGTAGCAACGTCCGGGGCCGGGGGAGGGGGTGTCTCGGGCAGAGACCCCCAGGCTCGGGGCAGCTGAGGCGGCCGGGCCTCTTCCCTGCTCCGCCCGTCTCCCGCCTTCGGGGCCGCGAGAGTCCTTCGTCCCTTACAGCCCCCCCCCGGCTCTGGGACCCTGGGGGTGGTCTCTTTCCCCAGACCTGGGACACCCCGTTTCCTGAGGCTTGGAGGAGCGTCGCCCCCGGAGTAAGCCGCCCGTGCCCCATCCCCGGAGCTTCCCTCTTACCCCCAAGTCGCCCCTTTCTCCGACTCCGGGCCCCAAGTTTGGCCTCGGAGCCCCCCAGTCAAATCCCCTCCCTGCTGTCAAGTGGCCTCCCCTTCCCCCCAGGTTGCTCCCGTGAGCCTCTAATGCCCTGACTTCTTCCAATGTCACCTACGGCCCCCTTAGTCTCAGCCCAGCCAAAAACTTTAATGCAAAGGAAAAGCCTGGACTGGTTTCACAGGCCCTTTAAAAAGCGGACTTAAAAGTTGCTGGCGATGCATTCTTTCTCGTCAGAGTCGAGGGCAAGCTCTCGCTGAAGTCGGGGTGACCCGTGTCCTTTTCCGGAGAGCAGGGTAGAGAAGCAGGAGCGGCAGCTAGTGCAGCAGGAAATTTGTCGGAAGATGAAGAAGACACCGACATAGGGGGTGGGTGACTTCCACAGGAAAAGTTCTGGAGAAGCATCGAAGGACGATCAGCATTTCCTTGATGTGGGAATCAAGATGACTTTAGCCTTACTGACCCTTTTACAGAATCCCCTGTGAATAGTTCTGTTTAGGTTTTTCTCCTTGAAAGGGAAGAAACTGTTATTCAGCCAGTATAAGACACTTAAAATCAAGAAACGTTTGGGTAGCATTGCAAGTACATTACTTCAAATTGACAAACTGCGAAAATAATCGGAACTCCTGTTTACATATGTCAACTTAAAAACTTCGCTTCCTGTCCTTATGGAAGATGTCGGTTTTTGTGATTGACCTCAATTACTGACTTGTGGAGATGCGGTGAATGTGAAATCCCACATATATACCGTTTTCCTTCTAAGCTCACTGACCATTCTGAAAGATCTTGAACCCTCTTCTGGAAAGGGGTGCCTATCTTACTTTATGGGTCAGCAGCCTGGAAAAGTTCTTGGGGACCAAAGAAGGCCAAGTTTGCCTGCCCTGCACTTTATCAAAGGAGCAGGGAAGAAGGAATCATCGAGGCATGGGGGTCCACACTGCAATGTTTTTGTGGAACATGGTGAGTGCTTTTCAAGCTTTCTGGTCCTGTTTTCAGCTTAGGAATGCTTAAGGAACTTTTGAACCACAGCACTTGGGTTGGTTCCTTCCAGTTCTGCTTAAAACTTCTGTTAAAGTTATCTCTTAGTTTCTGGTGGCACTTTCTTTGTATAAGAAAAAGTTACTTGGTGACAGTGTATGGCTTTATTCAAAAATCTCTTTGAGTTGATTATTTCTTGCCTGATGTGCTTTCTAACTCGCTGTTGACCTTGGACAAGCCATTTCACTCTTCCAGTTTCCTGAGGAGGTTGGACTTAAGTAGTTTCTCAGGATCCATAGTCCATGATTCTGCTCTAAGCTGAGGCATGGGCTCTTCCCCGGAGGTGCATAGATATTTTACTACTTTATCTACAGAGCTTTTATCATATCCTTAAAAGGGTTTGTGCTCCCCAAGAGGTTAAAAACCACAGATCCTCCTCAACACTAATATCCTTGACCTTTCCAATCATAAGTAGAACTTGACTCACTTTGGAGATACATGCAAACAGTCTAGGCGGCAGCAGCGTTCCTTGCGAATTGAGGATGCCCGGCTTCTAGTTATTTCACTTGATGTGAGGAGTAATCCTTTCCCCATGGATGGAGGTTTTCCTCCTCCTCTCTCTCTGTTTCAGATGACGTTTGGGGCAAGAAAGGTTGTCCAGTAGTTCTGCGTGAAGTTTTAAAGCTAAGGGTTGGCCTAGACTAATGTCTGTGACGGGCCAGCCATGCACCAATTAATTAGGGTCCTAATTGTGCTGTTGCAGCTGGACAGTTTTCAGACTGTGTACTTTATATTAAAATATTAATTGAGCCCACCCATCCTGTAAGCAAATGTGAGATGTAGGCAGGTAACATATACTTTGAAATTCAATCACAAACACCCTTAACAATGGGTGACTACTTTAAACCAAGTTCTTTATTCAGTGAACTTGCATTTGACAGTTGAGGTTTGATTTTCTTACAGAACAGTATTCACCTCATCTAAGTAATGTGGGTACTTGGATTTTACTTTACCTTGAAACACTAGTTATATCTTAGCATTGGCTTTAGACAGGCAAATATAGTAAGGTGTTATGGTGCTTCCCAAATTCAGGGTTTGTAAAGTGAATTATTTATGTTGTTAACTAGTGATGCTCATGCAACTTTAGATATTGAAATCTGGTACAGACTTTTTGGAGAGCTTTGGCCAAACTTAATCAGAATTTAAAATGTACATAGCAGTGACCCAGTGATTTCACTTCTACGAAATTATTCTGGTATAGAACAATATAGTGCCTTAGATGTCCCTTATACCCCTTTGAGGAGTCCAGAAGTTAAAACTGTTTTCATATTCACACAATACTAAGATGTTATTTGCACTCTTTGCACTAATGGTGCAAAAGTAATGCAGCCTCCTTATCATGAATCAAGGTTGTGGCAACTAACCATAGTAGCCATGTATTCTTCATGCCATGCACTCATAATACACACACACACACACAAAATTTTAATTTTCACTTAAGAATTTTCCTGATGAAGCAGCAAAATTATTAATTTTATTAACTTTTAACTCTTGTATATGTATCTTTTAAATCTGCTGTGGATGAACTGGAAAGTCCTGCTGTCTGCTGAGGTATAATGGTTTCTAGGACGAGCACTTGGGCAGTCGGAGTTGCAAGCTGAACTGCGGCTTTTTTCAGGAACTACCATTTTAAGTCGAAACTACCACTGACAAACTATGGTTATTCAGACTGAAAAAAATATATGAAGGAGTCTTTCAAGGAAAACAGCTAATAGTATCTGTTGCCAGTGATAAAATTTTAGCTTTCCAATGAAAATTAGGATTTTGGAAAACTCGTATCTGCTACTATGAAGTAGAAATTGGTGGTAATATTTACAAATGTGCTGTTTTGATGTCTTATAATGGACTGTGTTATTTGGAAGATCTACGTAATTCAGTGAACCAATATTTTCTAAATGATCAACACATGATGTTATAAAATGACACACAGGTAAAAGATCAAATCAACGTATGACATAGACCAATAGATTTCAATGTAACAGAATACAAAAATTCATTGGTATAGTTTTAGATTCTACATCAAAACTAACCTTTAAGAAACTACCACTTATTGACTTTGGTGTAGCTTCAAAGAAGAATATCTACAATTTTCTAAAAACAGGGAAAATATGTTATTTTCTAGTAAAAATAAAAATGTTTATTTTAGGTGAATAAATGAATAATTTACATTTTTCAGTTTAAATTTATAATATGGTAAATATCGATGAGATAACCAATATAAACAAAAGCACTTTGGGGTCCTAAATAATTTTCAAAAGTGTAAAGAGGTCATGAGAGAAAAAAAATTTTAGAACAGCTGCTGTAAGAAGTCTATCAAGAAGTCGTATCAGAATGTTTATTACTAGCATACTGTAGAAGACCAACACTGAAAGATGTTCATGTAGTGTTAAGTGGGAAAAAGCAGTTTGGAGATCAGTCTGTGTGGTATGGCCCCATTCTTTATAAAACAAAAATTAACTATGTGTACACGCACAGAAAAGAGTGTGGAAGGATTTAGACTGAAATAGTTGTTATCTCTAGGGAACTGGAATTTAGGCGGAATGGCAGAAAACTTTTACTTTTTACTTTGTGATAATTGCAGACTTTTTATATAAATTTGTGTTATTTTGTAATACTAAAAAATATGAGGATTATTAACCAAATCGATGGCAGCCCAACCAAATAGTCACTTCTTTGTGACACCTTTTATCAGAGAAATTGCCTAGGTCATGTTTTACTGAAGACAAGACAATTCCTTGTACTTTGGGTATTCTTTTTTCAGGGGAACAAGGTGTTTGTGTTACAAATCGTTCTTGGTCTTTCATAGGCTGATCTTTCTAGAGTTGGTTAACATCCATATAGGTTGGATTAAAAAGCTTGCAGTCATAACATACAGTGTTGGACCAGACGTGAATCTGGAAGCCAAGAATCCTGTTGTGTGGTGGTGGTGGTGGATCTGGAAGGAGTGGGCTGATGGCAACTGTTTGCTAGGATCATTCAGGTTCAGAAGGGCTAGTTATACATACAGGGGGAAAAAAGGAAACCATGATGTTATTTTGGGGACCGTATGTTCCTTCCAAGTTTCGGTGGCTTAACTAGGAAAATTCACTTCTAGGAGAGCTGGTAAAAACAGGATTGAAACAATTCACTAGTAAACTTATGTACCTTAGTGTGACCTTTGTTCTTCAGCAAATATTAATGGAGCTCCTGCTATGTACCAGGTAGTGTTTTAGTCATTGGTGATACATTAGTGAACAAAAACATAGCCCTGCCCTCCTAAAACTTACATTCTAGTGGGTGGAGACAGACCATAAATAAGCAAGTAAAATATAGAATGTTAGTTGATGGCAGGTGCTGAGGAGAATAACATAGAAAAGGGTGCTCATTTTAGTTAGGGTGACCAGAGAGGCCCTTCTGAGAACGTGGCCTTTGAATAAAGACCTGAAGGAGGGAGGTGAGGGAACAACCACGGAAATAATGGCTTTCAGGCAGAGGGAATCCGGGCTCAAAGGGCCCTAGGCAGAACTTGCTTAGCCTGTTCTAGGAGAAGCCCAGAGTAGCTGGAGCAGCGAGAGCAGCAGAGACAGAGTTGTAGGAGATGAAGAGGAGGGTAGGGGAGTCGGTTAGAGAAGAATGTGGCCTTGTTGAATTTTGACTATTACTCATGTGGTCTTGGGTGAATTTTGAGAGAGGAGTAACAGGACCTGATTTATGCTCTAATAAAATCTCTCCAGTTGCTGTGTTCTCAAGGAGAGCAAAGGAGGAAGTAGGGATTCCACTTAGGGACTGGTGGCACTAATCTCGATGAGAACGTTGATGGCTTGGCCCAGGGTGGTGGCAGTGGTGAAGGGTCAGATTCTGTGACTGTCTGAAGGCACAGCTGACTAGATTTGCCCTTATATAGATACAAGATGTGGAATGGGAGAGAAGTCAGGGGTTTATGGACTGAATAACTGGGAAAATAGAGTTGCCTTTTGCTGAAATGTAACCTAGAGGAGGGAGTTGGGAGAAGTGGGCGGGGGGGATGAAGATCTGGAGCTTCTTTTTGAGCGTGCTGCATTTTAGATGCCTAATAGGCATCGAGGCAGAAATATCTAATACACAGTTGAGTCTGCCAGTTTGAATTCAGGGAAGCGGTCCAGGCTGGAGAGAGAACCTGGGAATCAGCAGGTTATAGACAGGCGTTTAAAGCTGTGAGAATGGATGACATCCCCAAGGGAGAAATCTCCATGTATATCCAGTAGTTTATGAAATTAAGACTTTACATTTTTATATAGAATTCATTTGAGTCTTTTTTTGGTGGGGGGGCTGACATTCAAATTTTGCATAGGAATGATTTTAAGTCATGCTGAAGTTTTAAATTGTTTCTGTCAGTTTTCCCTCCTAAATCAGAAAGTTGCAGAGTTTTAAAAAATTGCACACAATTTTTGCTGTTTTTCTTGGTCGTGGATGTTTTTAATATAAAATCATTTCAATTTTTAAAGTTTTATAATGCTTTTCCAGTTAATGCTTTAAAAATTGAAGCTTTTTTTTATGAATTCTGGAGTTTTCAAAGTTTTAGTTAGTACATCTATATCCTTCAGGGTATTACTTATTTAATTTGTTTATATCAGATGTTTTACTATGAGCTTAACTGAAAAATGATTTTAAGAAATTGTTTACTCTTGGTTTAAAAATACTTCACGGTTTTCAAATAAAACTATTCATCGTAATAGAATAGGAACGTGATAGATCAACACTGCAGTTTCCATCGCTATTCAGTTATACTGCGCATCCATACACATCAGGAAGCAGGAGAAGTTACAGCTATTGAACCTGATGGGTATTAAAATTCAATCAAATCCTTCAATCTCCTAAGAAGAGGCTGTTTAGAAAGATTATATTCATGTACTTACGTTAGGGATTGGGTTGTGATACATGAACTGTGAAGAATTGTGTGTATT